AATGATGCCTCAAGGGTTTAGTATTTAGTATTTAGTGTTTAGTGTTTAGGGTTTAGTGTTTAGGGTTTAGGGTTTAGGGTTTAGGGTTTAGGGTTTAGGGTTTAGGGTTTGTGTTTCAGGGTGGTGCGTGAGGCTGAGGCGGAGCTGCTGAAGGACGAGACCCTAGATAAGGAGTACCTGCCCATAGACGGCCTCCCCGAGCTCAAACCAGTAAGAAGCAGCAGCAGCAGCAGCAGCAGCAGCAGCAGCAGCAGCAGCAGCAGCAGGGGCAGCAGCAGCAGCAGCAGCAGCAGCAGAAACAGCAGAAGCGGAGCAGCAGTAACTGTTGTAGCAGAGGCAGCAGCAGTTGCAGCAGCTCCTTCTGTCTCCATATGTGTCTCCTTTTCTGTCTCCTTCTGTCTCCTTTTCTGTCTCCTTCTGTCTCCTTCTGTCTCCTTTTGTCTCCTGTCTCCTTTTTTGTCTCCTTTTGTATCTCCTTGTGTCTCCTTATGTATCTCCTTATGTCTCCTTTTGTGTCTCCTCCCGTCTCTCTCTCTAACTGTCTCCTTTCGTCTCTCTCTTTAACTGTCTCCTTTTGTGTCTCCTTTTATGTCTCCTTGTGTCTCCTCCTGTCTCTCTCTACAACTGTCTCCTTTTGTGTCTCCTTTGGTGTCTCCTTTTGTGTCTCCTTCTGTCTAACTGTCTCCTTCTGTCTCCTCCTGTCTCCTCCTGTCTCTCTCTCTCTAACTGTCTCCTTTGTGTCTCCTTATGTGTCTCCTTTTGTGCAGCTGTCTCCTGTCTCTCTCTCTCTAACTGTCTCCTTTTGTGTCTCCTTCTGTCTCTCCCTCTCTAACTGTCTCCTTTTTTCTCTCTCTCTCTCTCTCTAACTGTCTCCTTTTGTGTCTCCTTATGTGTCTCCTTTTGTGCAGCTGACTCAATCTCTGTTATTTGGCGAAGACAGCGAGGCCATTGCTGCGGGGCGCATCGCTTCGTCTCAGTCTCTTTCAGGCACTGGGGCTTTGCGTGTGGTTGGGGATTTTATTAAACACTTTATACCTCAGGCCAAGGTAAACCCTAATCTAGGGTTTAGGGTTTAGGGTTTAGGGTTTAGGGTCTAGGGTTTAGGGTTTAGGGGGGAGGGGGGAGGGTTTGGGGGGGTAGGGGTAAGATAGATCTGCGGTGGGAGGATATGAAGAAGGGGATCAGGGATATATAAGATTCGTTTCAAGGGTTTAGGGTTTAGGGTTTAGGGTTTAGGGTTTAGGGTTTAGGGTGGTTTGGTGGGTGCAGACGGTGTACCTGAGCAACCCCACCTGGTCAAACCACCACAACATCTTCGGCCCCGGCGCGGGCCTCACTATTGCTGAATATCCTTACTGGGATCCGGTGAGATATAATTAGGGTTTAGGGTTTAGGGTTTAGGGTTTAG